ATTTTACTAACACAATAGTCAAATAGCAACCTGTTTTTGTGTGAATTTCTATGTCAGTCAAATGTTGAATTTTGGAATGAAGGGGTGGAAATTAAAACATTAGTTTTTTTGTTGCCGATTCATCGATTAATTGGGACAATAATCGGGAGATTAATCGATGATTGAAATACTCGTTAGTTACAGCCCTAGTTTGCTCTGTTCACCTTTCCGTTGCAGTTTTGAAATTGCTCTCTTTCACTCATCTTCACTTGGGTATTTTTCAGGGAATGCTGAGTGCTTGTTTTGAAAATGTCTTTCAACGTTACATTTTTTGTTGTTCGATAATTTCTCACCATATATTAAGCACACATGTAATCCAGCGTCATTGGCGCTGAAGGCAAACGCATCTATCCACACAGAATTAAACTCTCAGTTTTTGTCTGAGATGTTCCTTTTTTGGGATTTACTCATGGTTAGTGCAGGGGTCACACATGCCAGAACGGCAAGAAAGTTTAGGTGGCAAGAAAGCCGCTTAAAGTCGAGGGCTATAAATGTTGATGTGATGCATATTTTACTTGACAAATTATAAACAAAACCTTTTTTAAAATTAGATGTTAAAGTACCAAGGAAATGCACCCAGCGGGAGTCAGCTGGGGGGAAGGTTCCCCGCGAGGGGTGATCCTGGGGGCAGCGAGGTGATGTGATCTGCGGCCCTGGAAGCAGCGAGGTGCGGGCGGGGTGAAGCTGTCTGATCTCGCTGCTTCACCTATTTACAGTAGTAAATAAATAGCAAAAATAATAATATATAAATAAAAATGAAACGTTCATTTTCATGGGTTTTATTTGTCATGGGCAAGGTCAAAGGGAGCCGCTACAAGGAGGCTAAAGAGCCGCATGCGGCTCTGGAGCTGCGGGTTGCGACCCCTTTTCATGAGTCTAACAGCCTTGTGATAGAAGCTGTTCCTCAGTCTAGTGGTTCTGCACTTCCTTCTTAATGCTAACAACACCACACCGCTAACAGAACAGATCCATGCTGCTGAAAGAACCTCACTGCTAACCCAATCACACTGTAGATATATTTCTTTTTCACCTTTGGTGCCTTGTTTTTTGTATTTTTGCTGCATGCTTTGGTGTTTCTTGTTGTTTCTTTTCTGGCGCTTCGAGACAGTTCTTCTTGTCCTCAGCATTTCATTGCATTGTTGACCATGTGTTCATTTTTGCATAATGACAAATAAACTAAACCTGAACCTGATATGTTCACTGGATAAGAGAAGTGATGTATCATATTCATGTGGAAACAAGTAAAATATACCCTGAAGGGTTGGTTCTGTTCAGAACTGTTGGGACACATTTGGAGACATCTCTTGTCCCCTAACGTCCCATGAACTGACACATTTTAATATCACTGCGACGAGGAGCAGAAGAGAGACACGATCAAACGGAAGCAGTGGAACAAACAATCGTGTCAACCAGGAATTTTAATGAACCTTCGACAGCCAGGAGCAGAGAAGATTTTGTCGGCGGCGTGGGGCGCGGAGTGTATCAGCAGCAGCTTTTGGATTTCCTTTTGAACTTGGAGGCCCAGGAGCAGCTACAACCAAGCCCAGGAGCAGCTACAACCAGGCCAGAGCTGGGGAGATTCTGGCGAACTTTGCTGGACGTGTCCTATGGATCTTGCTCTTTGGACTGCGAGTGGCGAGGTGTCCGTCTGTGTTGGTGTCGGTAGTGGATGTGGGGAGCGGCTGTTGGATCTGGCTGCCGGGTGTCTGCCTACATCTGTGGATGTGTGAGTAGCTGTTTTGCTATATCTATGAGGATCCAAGGAGCAGACTAAGCAGCTAT